GTTCTCTAAATCACTTGTACCAGCAGGCTGACCCAATTATGTCAGCTAATCCTGGAAATACAGGAGGTAAATTTAAATCTCTTCATTCGAAACATTTAGTCAATATTCTTTTTTCTATTTTTTTTATTTTGTTCTGGCACAGCATTGGGAGTTTTATATTCCTGTCTATCTTTTGCCCCAGACTATAACTTTCTGCATAATTGCAATGCCTGGAGGAAGAGGTCCAAGTACAACTTCTCCCAAGGGACAGAGCAGGCCAGGCATTTGAAAGGACAGTGCTTGTTTTTCACAAAATGAAAAAGAAACAGAAAGATCACAGGCTGTGTGAAGGGATGGGGAAAAGAGGGTGCCAGGCATATGGGCAAGCTAATACTGGTGCACAGGGGATAAATCAAGTTCCCTATTGCAGCATACCATCTCAGCAGTTGTACTACCCCCTCATCAATAACACACCTACATGCTGCCCATGTTTCCTGCTTATGCTCACCCACCACCCAATTACCAGTCCATGAAGCTCCACACCTGCTGTGTCTTGATCCTCAGAACACTATGCTGAAGCTTTTAACCCTCTCCAAACACCTACACAATGCTTTATAATAATAGTATTTAGCAACGGGAAGCTACATTAAATAATTATAGACAGTACTTCAAACACCAGATTAGCAGATCCTTACACAGTGCTGAAGATCAGCAACAGATAGACCTACAAGGGAAAAGCAGTCATTTTCAGTCTGTGAGTCATGTTCAAGTCCTAGTCTCCTCAGAGAACTGTGAGCCCTGTCTCCTGTTCTTGTCCTAAGACTCACTATAATAGGTATTTTTTAAAGTCCCAAGTTTATGTGGAATTATGTGAATTTGTAGAAGAACAGCTTGCAATATGACCCACGTCTGTTCTAAACACTCACTAATCTTACATGCAAATAGAAAGAATCGACATATTTAAGTATCTAGATTTCTCTTTTCCTCCCTGTTCCCCACAAAATGTTTGAGCTTTTTAATGCCTATCTCATAGGTTTTTAATTTTGCTGCTGAGAGTACAAACACATTCACATACTGGACTTGACTGAAAAGTACTTGCCTTCAGTCTGAAGGGCCATGTATCTCCATCACACATGTTCACTACCCACACTTCTTCAAAAGCACAAAAACCTTAAATTCCCTCTGATTGCTGAACTAAGGTTACCTAGAGCAAGACATTTATAACAAACGTGGGAAAACAAAGTATAGAACTAGCTAGGGAGCTGATAGATTTTCATGCATAAATTTAGACTTAAATGTCTTTAACCATCTTGACTTTTATCATTTTTGTATTGTGCAAAATGTCCTCTAAAATATTATAGCAAACCCAGTATGAAAGTCTTAGTTTTTTATTTATCTCTGCTGATGAAGTAGTAACAATTGGTCTAATCTAGTCTAATCTATCTCTTGAAGTTTATTTCATTATAATCTTTCAGTTCCATGCATCTCTCCTAAATGCAGAAGCAGCATTTTTCTTGAAGAATGCGTGGTGTGAGTATACATCCAAACTCATTCTTTTGTCCTTTTCAAATAATTCAACATGACAGTTCAAGCAGTGGTGGTAGAACGTGAGACTGAAAGACCATAACCATTTTTTGACTGGCATACTGAATACGAGTTACAACTGAGAATGAAGGATAAACAAATATGTCAATTAAAGAGAAAACATTAGAGTGAAGCTATCAGGAAAAAATATAGGGATGGCAATTACTTAATAAAATATGCCTGTATAAGGAGCATGCTGTTGGCATTCATCTTCCTTTTTGTTCACAATATTTTATAAATTATTTTTATGTGGTGCTGAGGATCCTTTGCAAGATGTCAAGCACCTCAAAAAATACTTGAATTCAGCATTTTATGTAAAACTAACCACTATTTACTCTCTGTGTTTAGCAAACTTCATTAGAAGCCATGTTTATAAAAGAGTTTATAGGATACTTGACAAAGTTAAGCATCTTTCTAGCAAAGATGGAGTGCTGATTTAATTTAGGGATAAAAAAAAAGAGTATATTACAGAAATCCATGCATATGTAAACATAAAATAAGCATCAACATTAAATAAATAAATAATTTTTTAAAAAGTAAACATAAAGTAAGCATATGTCAGAAATCAACATTTCTCTGTATCAATTTGAAATAAGAAAACACCACCATAATGGGAGAACTGTAAATTCTTGTAGCAATGGTAAGTTGAAATTAAGAACAATTTCTAAACAGCATCACTGAAGCAAAAATAATTTAGAAGTCCAAACCTTCAACAGCTATTCAAAAGAACTATTGAGTATGGGTAAAAAAAGAGTATCTCATATTTTCTTTAAGCAGTCACAACCCTTCTGATTCCCAGGTTTGCACGTGTGCAGGAGAACATGGCACAGCGACAAAACCATTAGTGTACTCTTGCTTTTCATACAAACATTCTGAACAAGTCAGAAAAAAATGTATCAAAAACTGCTCAGCCGGCGACACTTTTGGCAGATTGGGTTAGTGCCCTGTATTTTACAACCCCAGGAGGTCAGTATTTGTTATTTTCTATGGCAATTTATACTAATCAATCACTTCTTGCTCTTTCTTCCTTCACTGTATTTTTAAACCCACTAACTAGGATACACAGCCTTGTAGCATCTCAATGATCATTTCCTTATCCCCTCTCTGCCATTGTCTCTTTGTGCTGAGACTAATGCTTTTAATTCTACTTCTCACAGTGTTTAGGCTGTATCGCCGTTTTGAAACCTTTCAGCTCAACCACTAAGCGTATAACAAAGCCCTTCAGATTGCTTTTGGTTGCACTAGTTCATGTTTTGAAAATACTACAAAGGCATATTTTTCATGGGAGGAGAGCCTTGGAATGAATACCCTTCTCCAAGTGCGATATGAACGCCTCCAGTTCTTTTGTAAAATTTGCATTGAGGTTTAAGTCTCACATGCAAAGTGGCACCATACTGTCCAACAAGCACAGGTTTCTTTTTAAAAAAGTGTGGGCTTGTTTTGGCTCTATTCGTAAGTTATTTTTTGAAAAATGCATTAAAATATGAGAGCTTTGTTCTTCACGTTTCAGTTCTGACACAAGGAAGTAGCGAGCACCAGAATGTTGTATTTCACAAGAATAAAACGGCTTGATTCACATAACTTCAGTGATCTTTTAGTGCAGACTTACCTATAGTTTCTACAAAACAGCAGAGATAATTTATT